AAAATATTTAATTTAATTAGAATATGTGAGATTGACGTTTTTATGTTTATTCATAATGGTTATTTAAAATCATAAATTAATAGATTTTTTTATAAAATTTGTTTAATAAATCCAAAATTTGTAGTATATATAATAATTAGTTTGAAATTTTTCTAGCTAACGTATTATATTATACTAGAAAGGTAGTCGCGCAGCGTAGCGATATAGATTTTGATTTTAATATTTCATTTTTTTATCTCAATCGATATTATAATATGGTCTTATGTGATTTTGAAAAAAAAAAGATGGTGTTTTTATTTTTTAATAAAATATAAATTTGAAGATATCATAAAATTTGACAAAAATATATGGATATTAGTATCAAATTAACTATTTAAAATTTCTTTTTTTTTGTGTAATCTTTTAATTCAAATTTTTATTATAATTTAATTAGGTTCAATAACGAAGTAATTTATATTTGGTTTAATAATATAATTTTCTTATAAAGATAATGATTAGTTATTTTGTTAGAACTTGATAATTATTCTAACTATATTTTAGAAGTTTTTAGATTTTAAAATGAGATGTTTATTCTCTATTTGATTATGTTTATCCGCAGTTAGTTACACGAATTCAAACATGAAGCTTTAATAAGTTGTACATGTGCATAATTTACTTATAATCTTGAATTTTAAATAATCTGCATCAATATACAGTACTTCATGCACAAAAAAATGGTTTTTAAGAGTTTTTGTCAAATGYTTTATAATATAGTGTAGATTATTTATTTTTATCATCTTTTCGTATTAATTAAAATATTATATTTTTAGAGAACTGTTTTAATTATATTATAAAATATTGTAATTGATTAATTTTTCAATATATTTTTTTTGTTCTTTTTACATATTTTATAAGTTAGTTTTTGTCAAAAATGATTTATCAGCTACCAGTTAACTTATCAACTATCAACTAATTTGCCAAACATAGCCTAACATAGGGTGGGTATTCTAGTTTTTTGATTTATTATTTATATTTTTGGTATTTTAGTTTTTATGATTTTATAAAACTATATATTTTATGATAAAGGAATTAACACATAAAAAGATTATATTATTTATTATTGTTTATGATAAAATGATCAAATATTGTTAAGACAATTTGTCTTTTCATATTTTTGGTCAGTATAGCTTTAATTTCTTATTAGTTTGATTTATACACTAACGTTATTCAAATGGAAGCCGTTGAGTACTTCTCACATGATTTATACCATTAACTATTTTTAGACTATTGTGGTCTCATAAGTCATTCAGTTATATCAAACAAATGTATTTTCTATATACAACAATTACAATGATTTTTTAGACATTTTTAAAGAGACATTTTAAAATAGTGTCCAATTAATTTTTTGATATAACAATTTTGAAAAAATGACATTTTTATGTGGTGTCTTTTCGGATTTATATTTTAAAAACATATGCCTTTATATGGCATTTTTAAAATAAAAAGTTACGATAAGATTTTTTTATGACAATTCTGAAAAATTACAGTTTGATATGACGTCTAACGGTTTGTTAGAACACCCTTACTCAACGGTTTGCACTTGAACGATGTTAGTGACAGAAATAAAACTCATAATAAACTAAAATTATAATGACCAAAAATATTAAAAGAAAAACTAATTGTTTTAAAAAGATTTAATTATTTTATCATAAAAATAACAAAATTATATATATACACACACATACATATATATGTATAATTTTTTTATCAAAAAATCTATAAAAAATTATAGATTTGTTATAAAGATAAAAATACAAAAAAGAAACAAAAAAACATCCAATAAATCAAAAATAAATAAATAAATCAAACAGATTAAAGACCCCTAAATTAGTGGATGGTCTTTAAAAATCAACTTTGTCGTAATTAATTCATATAGTCTAATTTAATCAGGAAAAAAAAATATTTCATTAAAAGATTAAATATTTTGATTAAATTTATAAAAACATCTTCAACAGATTATCAAACACAGAAAAAACAAAAAAAATTGAGCAATTTTTTGTTACAACAGATTCTATAAAATTTTATCCAAAATAGAGAAAGTGAAAGAAAATATGCAAAAATCTTCAAAAATAATCTTTACGATAGAAAAACATTTTTTATTATATTCAATCAATAAAAAATCTTTAAATTAAATGTTTTCATAAGAAAACTAATATTTTATTACATATATAATTTTTTTTATTAACACAAAGAATGTTATAATCTTTAAAATAGTTAAATATAATATTTTTGAGATTTTAAATTTTAATTATATATTATTTAAAAAATCCGTTGAAAAATGTTCTGGTGTTGAAATTTGGATCAAATTGCAAATATAAAAACAAAATATGATGTTTAAAGGAAATTAATATTAATAAATATGTATATTAATATAACCCGCCATCATATTATTAAATAATTTCGAAGAAGAGAAGGTGTAGTAAGTACAATAGCTTCCAAATTTTCGAGCCTCTCACTTTCCGTATTTATTTCTGGCCATCGCCATACCCTTTCACACACACACACCTCTCTCTCTCTCTCTCTCTCTCTCTCTCTCTCTCACATGAAGAATCCGGCCAACTCCTTGCCGGAACCACCTTCATTCCGCCGCCGTTAACAAAAAACACAATGGGTAAAGCTTCCAAATTCTTCAGAGCACTATTTGGCTTCAAAACCATCGAACCCACCGACCCACCACCATCTCGTTCTGACCTCAACAAACAACCAAAACGACACTGGAGCTTCATCAAATCCCACAGAGACAAACCCACTCGCCACCATCTCTCCAACACATTTGACGCTTCACTCTCTCGTCCCTTCGACACTCCACTTCACCATCATGCATCCATCGAGACAACCGGTGACGACGATGCTACTACTGGTTCAAGCAATCACGCCATTGCTGTGGCTGCAGCCACAGCGGCAGTCGCTGAGGCTGCCGTCGCAGCAGCTCACGCCGCCGCTGAGGTGGTACGGATGACGAGCAGAGCCACCGGCGGTTATGGTCTTCGTGGTGAACGGGCCGCCGTTAAAATCCAATCTTACTTCCGATCTTATCTGGTAAACTATATTCCCCAAACCAGACACAATATTCTCTATATGTTTTCATCCTGCAATCTGTTCATCCTTTAAAAAGGGTACTTTAGTCTTTTCACTATCAAGTATGAACATGGTGAATTCTTACAGAAAAGGTCAACACACGAGGTACGGAATTTAATTTTAGTCAAACTTCAAAGGTTAACCAATGTACAATATCTAATGCGTAAGGTACAACAGGAACCGTAAATCCTTTTGACAAAACGGTTTCCTGTGTATGCCTTTTATACATTATTATATCCATTGATTTGTCGGCATAATACAAGTGAGCGTTGGGTCATGGGTGGGTAGTAAATGTACCGTGTTGTCTTATTCCACTTTTGCCCTTCTAGGTTATGAATGCTTCCACTCTCTTCTTAACAACGATTAGGGGTATTCAAGGAAGATAAGTTCGATAATGCAATGGGAATGCTTTATGCATCTTTGTTATGCTAAAACTAGGTCAAATAAAAGTGTTGATTTTGAATGATCAAAACTTTGTAGATTTTACTTTTACCGCATCAATGTGTGGTACGGGTATAAGGATTTAACTTTTTACCGCACCAGTGAGTTGTACGGAAGGGATGGTCGGTGGGGTAAAGAGGAAGTTGGAAACTAGTTGGGGAAAGCATAGATGTGGACCCCCCAAAAGGTTCGATGTTCTAGATGTTTGAATTGTTCTGGACATGATATGGTGACGTTTGATATTGTCCATATCTTCATTTATTCATACCAGTAAATGATACCATTACACTTACACTTTTTCAGTGGCTAAAAGATTTTATTTGATACAGATATTTAGAGATCAATATTGGATTTGTTGACTGATTTTATACCAGTAAAAAACACTATTTTAAAAAGCATGATGGCATGTCATAGCTTAAGCTTATTTCTGACGCTATGTTAAATATAACATATGGTCTGATCAGACGGATCTAGAGGGTTGGTTAGGATTCACGTGCGACTATTGTTTCTCCGTGGTAAAGTTAAAAAAATTAGGTTCGTGAAAGATGCAACCGTTTTATTTTAGAAGGTACAACCGTTTTATATGATGTCACCGTATCCAAAAATTCTTGGGTCTGTCACTCTGATGCATGATTTATGTAACACCATATTTGATTTTTTTTTACCCTTTTAGTGTCTTATTTTTTGTCTTTAGTACATAATCTAATTTAAAATGCTCAAAATTATTAACTCATCGAGTAGTAGAGTAAAACAAAAGTTTATATATATATATATATATATATATAGTGAAAGATCGTGTGAGAAGAAGTGTTAAAAGTGGAAAGCGTAAGAAAGGATTTTGATTCTTGATCATCTTTGATCTCAAATCCACTTGTGAATCACGTTTCATAGAGGGATTGATCCAGTACATCTCATCTTAATGTGCATCTAAGAGTGAAGATCTCTTCTTACGATTCTCACCTTAACTCTCTCCGTATATAATACTATATGTGGTATACAAATTTGCCACCACAAGTATTTGAAAAAAGTCATAGCCTCTTCTTGACTTTTAAGGCTTAAGACTTGACCTCACTATCACATCACTCGTTCTTTAGAACCTTGGTAAGAAACAAAGACATTGGACCGGTTAAAAAAGGCCTGGCTCAAGGACTATTTACATGCCCGTTTTGGTGCTAAAATTTAAGAAGTCCGGATAAAGCCCAAAAACCGGAGTTAAAGCAGTAAAAAAGCCTAGCGTCAAGATCAATTGCTTTTACCCCATTTATTTATCAAGACTAAAAAATATAAATATCAAAAACAACAATTTGTGGTCAGAGAAATTATTGCAAGAATTCTATTAAAATATTTTTTTAAAGATAATTCTCCGTTTTTACATGTAACTGGAATTTAAACCTAATATTCATCACAAATAGAAATGGCCAATTTGATCACTTAAAAGCCATGAAAAATATTCAAGACCGTCGGTCCACAGCTGGTCCTAAATTTATGGCCAATGATCGGTTAGGGTTCGGTCTGATCTTGTTTTGATAGAAAAGGAACGGTCTTTTTAGGACCGGTTAAACCCTCCTTGTGCACATACAGATGGTTATTTATAATTTATGGCCCTAATCGTGTTCCAAATTATTTCGCATATAAAATTTGTGCGATATAATCATCGTTGCATGTTAACGAATTATGGTAACATTTCAAGGCTCGGAAGGCGTTACGGGCATTGAAAGCATTGGTGAAGCTTCAAGCGCTCGTGAGAGGTCACATTCTAAGGAAGCAAGCTGCCGATGATTTACGACGCTTGCAGGCCCTGCAGGCTCTTTTACGAGCTCGTGCAAACCGCTTGCAGGTTGCTGATTCGCATTCCCCCCAACCGACAACCAAGAAATCGTCTTATAGTCATCAATACGTAAGATCACCTGCATAAAGACTTTGTAGATACAACTATCACTGAATGATGTACAACACCGCAATGCATTTCACACGATAACAAGTAACTACCACCTTGCAGGGGCCTCCGACTCCCGAAAAATGCGAGCATGTTCTACGATCGAGGACTATGAAACACCATCAGCCATCACCAATAAAGGTGTGTTATTTGCATGCATCATGTTACTACATATTTTCATTTCCCGTATTTACTTTATGTATTTCTTCGATCTTTGCAGAATCATGGGTCAAAATCATTTGCCGATGAAAGGAACGAGAAAATCCTCGAGATGGACTCCACAAAACCGCACATAATGCAGCAGCCTAGACGAAGGAACCTTTTTCAACCGGACCACATCAGTTACAGCCACAGTCAAAGTTTGACCACTTCTCGAGGCTCATCGATCCAACCACCTGCCCTGAGCCCAAGTGAATCCTGCGAAGTAAATTCCTTGACCACCCCTTTCAAATGTTTAACTCACGACATTGATGAAGAAACTTCTTTCTGCACGGCCCAAAATAGCCCTCCGTTTTACGCCCTTTCTTTCAAGGGTAACTCTTCCATGAGAGTGGGCCCGTTTACCCCAGCCAAGAGTGACAGTTCACGAAGCTGCCTTAGCGGCTACTCGGACCACCCCAATTACATGGCGTACACGGAGTCTTCGCGTGCTAAGGTGCGGTCTTTAAGTGCACCTAGACAAAGGCCTCAGTTGGAGTTTCCAAAGAGATATTCAATGTATGGGTATGGTTCAGGTGCTCAACGTAGTTCGAACTTGCGTGATAGTTTTATGAACAAAGCGTATCCAGGTTCCGGGCGGCTTGATCGGCTTGGGATGCCGGTTGGAGGTATGGGCGTCCGTGAAACTGAATTTAGTGGTAGTTACTGGAACTAGAGACACTGATCTTTGCTCTAACTTAGATATAAAGTTTAGTCCCAATGCCTTAGGCAGTTGGCCTGATGTTTTGTTTTTCTGATTACTAATTTAGTGGGACTTTTTAGAAGCTAAATTCTATATTTTGTGGTAGAACCACCTTTGATGTCTTAATACTCGTGCTTGAAATTCTGGTTTATTTTGCAATGTGATTCGATCCAATTATTGATTGGTTCGGTTTTATTAGATTCTGCATTGCCATCAACTTTTCGATACAATTTTGAACTTCTAGTTTTGGAGATGTTCCAATTACAATCGGACATCCAATTATGGTCGATCGACTTCTATTGTTTTTGGCTCATCTAAGCTCGATTCAAGATTGCCATAATCGACACTGTATAAGGTTAGCTATTTGAGCTCGAGTCAAAGTTGCCACAAGGTGCTTGAACTGGCGACCGTTTATATTTGAACCCCTCGTTTTACGATTGAACACAAAGGTTTTTTTTTTGTATATGTATTCCTCATAGCTAAAATGCAAAAATACTAAAAAGAATTTTTGAGGTTGGTACATGTTAGATACACACATTAAGAACATGGATTTACACGACCAAAAAACAAGCAGCAATGAAAGATTTGTAGACATATAAAGTGTGTTGATAGAAGTATAAGAATAAAAAAATCAAAACCGGGAACACGATTCATCGGTTATTACAATGCCATCTCGATGTAGGCACGCAGCTCAAGTAATGACACCAGCTGCAATGATCGTTGCCGTTCTCTCCTTTCAAAAGCATTATCAATCCCACCGCAAAGCTGCAACCAAAAAAAACCAAGTGTAAGCTTCTGCAAGACTTTCGAGAAGGGCAATCTTGTCTATTTACATTTCCATCGAGGACAATGTATCTTAATGAGGGTACTACAGCTATATAAAGATCTTCCTAACATGCTTTCTTTGCTTTGTAGAATAGGGAATCCTGTCTTTTGATCAAAGGGCAGTGCTGTCTTTTTTGTATTTTTCTAGCAGAACTGTTGTTCTTTAGAGGGAGTTTGTTTAGCATCAACCTTTCCAAATTGACACTGCTCTATTTTATCAACTTCACAATTTACTTTCAGTAACATTAAACTTTATAACAAACTATAAAAAACATAAATACAGAAAGAAAAAAATGGTGGTATAAACACGGACCCGGCAATCAATAAGATCATGGAAAGAATCCAGAAAACGTATTGGTATACTGTGTACTTGGATTTCCCACGCGCCTCCACAGGAAGATGGCGACGTTCTTGCCAAGCAAATTGGGGTCGGACAAGCAGTATGAAGCCAAGGAGGAAACCCGTTAAGAAACCTCCAATATGCGCAAAATTGTCGACATGAGGAAGAATTCCGACAGCTAAATTGATCAAGATGATGATTACAAGTGTGGTCAAAGCTGCAGCCTTCAAAACGAGATAGACTTCAGGTAAAATACCTTGAAAAACCCCAATACTATAGCAAGAAAACTTATACGACTTGTATGATCTAAGATTATCATAGAACTTGTCAAAATTTCCAAGAAATAACCAATTTAGATGTGCAAAATTTGTGAGTTTGTGGTACCTTGTTGGCATAAATAGTCCAGTTGGTAAGAAGTTCCGATAACATTGCTCCAAGAAGTCCAAACAGAGCACCAGAAGCACCAACGGAGATGTTGTTCTTAATGAACAGCGTAGAGAGTATGCTTCCACCAATTCCAGACAACATGTAGATCACCCCTACCCGTGCTGCCATATGTTTATTATAATTAGAACACATAATTGGAGAAATCAACTTCATAGAAAATGCTACAAATAGAGAAACGCATACATAACTTTCTAATAAAATTGATACTCTTTTGTAATTTGAACAAAGAGGTTTTAAATTTGACCATGAAAGTCATCTGTTTATGCATTTTGATATTTCTGCCAACATAGAAACATACCAAAGCCGAACTGTTGTTCAAGGCGAATCCCAATGAAAACCAAGCTCAACATGTTTGCAAGTAGATGAATAACCCCTGCATGCAACCATATGCATGACACTAGCCTCCACGCTTGATTATCATTCACTACCTTTTTCCACTCGAGAGCTCCCAACTTTTCCAATCTATAAAAGAAGTGAAGTCAGAATAAGTTAACTTGCAAATTCGTTCATTTCAATTGAAATGACTCCAAAAAGTACAAGAATTTTTTAGATGGAAACCTAAGCAACCCATAAAGGTAAACCAAACCAAATGAGCCAAATATATCCTCATATGGAGGTGGGGCCAGGTGGGATGTATGTAGACCTGACTTCCATCCCAAATACTAGCAACCCACATGTGTGGGGATCCAAACTCGGGACTCTAGGTTATCCTGGGTAAGGTCCAACCATCTTAGCATGCCCAGATGGGCAAAATTTCATTTACATTTAGAGTACAAAGTATGATAGTTTTTTCAATATATCTAACGTACAAGGCACTAGAGTATCAAGTTAACTCAGAAAGGCGAAAAAATTATGAGATTTTGGTAAAACTATTGTATACAAAAATCAAAATGAAGATGACTTCACTAGGTTGGGTATGTAACTAAGACTCAACCAGAATAAAGTCAAATAATATCAATTTCCTTAGTCTCGTAGAATTGCAATGCTTGACTCTATGAGTTAACAGAAGGTCTTGACGATGGTCATATATCCAAAATACCGTTCACTAGAGTAACTTATGTGATCCAAAATGAACACGATTACTTTTCCAATGATCATAAGGTCCCAAAGAGAACTCTTGTGATTATTATAGAACGTCCCAAAGAGAAATACATTACCATCTTCAAGGACCAAGTGAGCATAGCCAATTAGTACTTGAAACTATACCCAAATAAAACCAATGTATACCGGTTCAGAGATGTTATTTTGTGCAGAAAACAAAATTTTGATACTTCCTGTATTTAGGATGAACTCAGAAACAAAATTCAGAAATCTCATAACCCTGAAAAGCTTATTCAACAAAACTCACAATCCAGATTCAATGGAGGGGAAGGGGATCCAAGTGAGTAATAAGAATCATCAGTAGCACGAATCCCTAATTGGGAGGTAAGAAGCAAATTTATGGTAGGACAGACCCAAATTATAAACATGAATTCAATCACATAAATCCTAATCCAATGCGAATAGAAACCCAAAATCATCAGAAGACCATTTTTGGATGCTTAAGAAAAATTTATGGTTTATAAAACTTATCTTAAATCATAAAATCCAATCACAATAATAACAAATTGAGTAATAATAATTCAAAAGAACCCATGATCATCACAAAATCAACTTTACACCAAAAATGCCGAAAAGGGTATGTAAGAGAAAGCTCCGAAAAGTGAAAAAAAGAACACAAATCAAATCAATGGTAGACCGTCAGTAACACTCAATTAAGAGTAGAACTATGAAGAAAACTATCAAGAATCATCAACATACACATAAACACTAAATCGTGATTAAGAAACACCTTTTATATAAAGGAACTAAATGCCTACGTAAAAAGTTTCCGCTACGGAAAAAAAGAAGCCCTAGATCACCAATCACACATCAAAATCTTGAATGGGGATGTCAGAAAACTTACGTAGAAGAAGAAGGCCCAAAAAGGGGATTCTCTTTAAGAGGCTGAAAAGAGAGTCTACCCAAAAACCTAGCAACACAATTCCCCTCGAGACTCGAATTGTGGTTCTTAGGACAATCGTTAACAATCATGATAACAACAAACATAGCCACATTCGCAACAACAATCATAGGAACAAGCCAAGAAGTCCATTGTTTCTCCAATGATTCAGTGTAGTATGGAGAAGATGATGTGTAATAATTGGACGCCGGTGGTGGTGGCGGTGGACCTCTGTTCTTGGAGCTTCCTCTGCTCTCCAGATCTCCGCTACCCATCACACCAAACTCGATTGATCCTCTTCCCCACAAATCTTTTGTTTAATTCGATGTAGTTCAAATGGGCGTGTATATGTAGGGTTTGTTTGGGAAGTAGCTTGGAAGGGATGTAAAGATTAATCGCCAGGAATCAAAGAACGGTGGTGATATGCGGTTGCTTGTCTGTCTACTTTGTGTTAGGTGACCTGGTAATCTGTGAATTGTTTTTGTTTCTGCAACGGTTATCTCAAATTGCTTCTTCCAGGGATCAAATTGTTAATTCCAAACCAATTTTTTCTCCATAGAACTTGTAAACGTTGCAGTAAAACTTGTACACTGGTCTGAGTAAGTAATTTAAGCTTTGGAAAAGCAGTTACCAGCTATTAATCGTGCAAGGAAACATGATATTAAATAAACTACTTTACTTTATATAGATGGTGAAAAAGGTTCCGGGTGGGCTCTAAATCATTTTTTTAAACCGGGTCAGCCGGAAGTTTTAGGAATTAGTTTCCTTTTGTTTTATTTATCAAATTTTTTATTAAGTTTTATATAGATAATTTTATTTGCCTGGATAAATGAGTCATGTTGTTTACTTTTTTTATCTGAACCAACAGTCTGAATAACATAAATGGCCGATTTACCCCCCCAATATTAATTATTTGAACATCAAAACAAAATATCATAAATACGTCGAAGATGTGGTGTCTCATATGGAAAGAAGGCGGTGCTTTAAATAAGAGGTATGAGTGTCATTTTTGTAGTTGAATAGGGACAACACACAATTTCTATTTATGCAATTAAGTCATGTTCTGTGTGAATAAGCCGTAAGTAAACAACCTAAATGAGTTGTACGAATAAGCCAGATAGACCAATAAGCCTAATTAAGCCGCAAGTAAACAGCCTCTAAGACTTGTATAAATAAAGTTTCATGTATTGATAAATTTGTTTGTATGATAACAAATAAGTTGTTGTTCGGTTGCAGTGCTGAATAAACATTCTGAAAAATATATATGACCATTTTACCCCTTTCCATTTTTTAGCTTTTTCATTAACAAAAAATATTAATTTCTTGTTCATTATTCAAGTTCCCAATCATATTTTTTCTTCCTATGAACATATACAATAACAAAAAAAAAAGGGTGAGGAAGCACAAAAGGAACATCAAAGAATTAATTTCACCAATAACCAATACAAAACTCATATGTTAATTCATTAAAAAAACCCATTAACCAAAAACCCAAAATGGATGAGGAAGCACAAAAGGAAGAAAGAAAAAGAATCTGATGAAGAGATCCAAACCTCTGTGCTAAGTCCCCAATATTTAACTTCAATGGTTGCCCCTATACCAGATTTGTTGAGGAATATTTCTTCAGGTGTGAGTTTACTTGACAATAAGGTTGGAAACAAACCGGGTTGACCTCCGACCCGAGAAATCGGCAGCAAGTTCTTATTTTGAGGTGGAAAGAGGGGAGAAATTAGGGTCCTGATGGTGGAGAAAAGAAGAGGCAGCGAGTGCGGTGGTGGTGGGAACAGGGGGTTTGTTTGCGGTGGGGTTTCTTCGTGTGGGGGGATGAAGAAAGACCTCGGGAGATGGGCGGTGGGGATTATGACCATTATGCGTACGACGGTGGTGATTCTAGATACTTTGGATGTGGTGAATCTGATATGGTTTGGAGGTGGTTAAGTTTGGCTGTGTGGAAGACGTCATCACCAAGATAAGGAAGGAGGTGAGTAGGGTTTGAGGGTAGATGGGGAAATTAAATGGTTGAGTGTAAAGGACACATGGTTTCTAGCTGACTAATTAAGCCCTCGGCTGAGCGAATAAGTCGCAACTGAACAACTTTCTATAGCTGAACGAATAAGCTATAAGGCTTATACAGCCCATTAAAGCCACAAATGAACAACCCCTTATTCTAGACCCCGTAACTGGTCTTGGTCCTATCGGGCTGATCCTAGATCCGGACATGGCCCCGTCCTTTTTAAGAAAAATAATTAAATATTATATTTTACATTATAATGTTATATATGTTTTTATAATTAAAGTTTTTGAAATTCAACATTGAAATACACTTTAAAACATTATATTTAAATATGTACAATCTTGAAAATATTATAAAACCGTTTTAGCGACGATTTATTTAAATTACAATTAAATGGGTTCTTTTTTAACATATCAAAATATTAAATATACGTCAGGTATTATTTTTTCATACATATAAACATTAAATTTTATATTTTTATCGTATGATTTAATTCGATAATAATATAAAATAATACTAAATTATTGAGTAAATACATAACTATAGATACTTATAATAAACTATTTAATATTTATTTCATTATATTTTAATTTAACTAAAATCCAATCCAAATTAGGATGACGTAAATTATATATTAAAAATAATTTAAACATATTAGGATCCATTACATAAAAATAGTTGAATGTAAATTTTAAACATAACTTGTTATCATCAGTGCACTTCTTGCTTTTAATCGTTATAGCTTGCTTTCAAGAAGGGTTCAAGGGCCTTCGGGCCGGCCAACCAACAAACCCTTCTTTATGGGTCCGGCCATTATAGGAATATTTGATCTGTTTAACATATTCATATCTGATTCCGGTTTTCATGAATATTTTAAAATTTAGATAATAACTATGTTTTTATATATATATATATATATATATATATATATATATATATATTTACACACACACAACATTTAAAATATACAAACATAGATTCAAATCTTGAAAACATTGAAACGAACTCTGCTTTTAACATTACATTTAGGATCCGGTTTACAAGTTTCCAAACAAGACGGTTTGTTTTGAGATTTTTGTTATATTTTAATTTTGTCTACGAGAAGCAATTATTTATTATAATTTATCACATAACTAATATCAGATATTTATTATTACATATTCTTCTATATTCATGATATATAAAGATGATTGATAAGTGTGATTGTCAGAGAACGTGGTTAGGCATGAGTTATTGTCGGTGTCATGGTGACACCGACTCTTGATTCGACAATTATATATTTTTTTATTTGTTTAAGTTGGAGAATAAATTGAACTTCACTAGTTTAAACGGTTTGATAAAATTTACCATGTGATTTGCGAAATTGGGAACCGAAAACTAGCATGCGGGGGCAACTTATCGAAAGAAACCTTCATACTGTTAAAGTTAGGGACAAAAACCGCGACAAAACAAAAAGAACATAATGTGTAACAACTCGTCCCACACGAATCGAAAATGGGTTTTTTGAGTTTTTTTTTATAAGTTTCAAGTTGTGGGCTACCAATAACTTCCGTCATGGTTTTAAGTTGGATCTGAAGTTATTGAGTCAACGCAGGACATGTTTCTTTGGAATGTTACAAATGGTATCAGAGTCGATCTTTGTACCATTGAGATAGTAGTGCAGACCTCATCGGGTATGATGAGTCATCGAGGGGGAGTGTTTGTAACATCTTAGGCGAATGCTATCTTCTAATGAGCCATTTATGTTGGAATTGAAGTTATTGGGCCAACCTAACTTGAGACTTATAAGAAGCTCAAAAAACCCATTTTCTATCCATATAGGACGAGTTGTTGCATAATATATCTTTTTTTTATAAACAATTTAAATCATGAAAATAGAAATGCAAAATTGTTGTTCCGCATCATACAATAAGGACGTGTAAAGTATATGCTAACTCTTGTCATTTCATAAATAAACAAAATGAGTCGTGCATATCTCGGTTTGTCAAAGAAAACATTTTCGCATTTATTATTCTATGAATGCAATCCATCTGACAAATTCTATGTTTCTTGTATCTCCAGAATATTTTGCAAGCCAAAGTTTTTTTACGAGAACATCGTCTCTCCATTTGCAGTAGACGAAATGTTTATATATACATCCTGCTTGAGTAGGACATATTGGGTATATTTGGTTATATTGTGAGCATATGGAATGAACATGACTTAATCAAAGAAAATGAAAGACATCCATCAGTTATAGTCTTTTTATGGGATTCTACAGAATTAGTCTATGCATATAGAAGTTGGTTCGCATACCTACAGTTACCTAAATAATCAATTCAAATATGACCAAAAACTCACAAAAATGAGAAATGTGTTAGAAGTTTAATTCTTCATATCTAAATATATATCTTCTTTTTTTTTTTTTTATCATAGAGAATGGGTCTATTGCAAAGTCTTGGAATTAAACTTAGTTATAATTTATTTTCTGATTTTTTTTTTAGAAAAGAGTAAAGTTCAATTCTAGTCCTTAATGTTTGTAATTTTCAATGAATATCGTCCCTAAACTTTAAAACTTTATTAGGCCTCTTCTTTTACAATCCCTGGTGATATTAGATCCTTTGTATAATGATTGTTAAATTCTCCGTTTAATCCAATCAAACGCGGGTATTTTAGTTATTTTTATTATATTAAATAAAAAAATTAATCTTAAATTGTAAAACAAAAAATAAGAAGAAAAAAAACGAAAGATGGTGATTATCTTTTTTTCTTCTTTATTTGTTTACAATCTAAAATTAAAAATATAATTTGTTCTTTACTTTAAATATAAAATTAAGAAAATAACTAAAGTACCCCTCATGTAACTAAACTTAATAGAAAAAAAATCAACAATCGTTAAACAAAGAAACCAAAAACGTTGGAAATTGACAAACATACAAAATAAAATCCGATATATGAAAGTTTAAAAACAATATGTGTAGAAAATTATAAACATTAGGAATCAAAATTGAAAAAAATAAAAAAGAAAGATATAAAAAAATTATAGCCATCCAATTCAACAAACAAAAGCAAACCACACTCATATATACACCTTTAACAAATTAACCACATTTTTAGCTGCTGGTTCCAAAAAATAATAAACACAAACCCTAATTCTATCTCTTTTTGTGTCACCAACAATGAGAATCTCCCGTTGCTGGATCTGAACGACTCCGGCAATGGGAGAACCCATAGATTCTAACCATGACATGACAACAAAACCAAACCCTCTTCGACCACCACCACCACCACCACCCTATCCGCCGCTTAAAGCCCACCGTCAATCATCAAAAAAGAAAAACAGACCCAAAGTTTTCCGAGTCGTTCGTTCGGTTTTCCGATCATTCCCCGTGAAAACAAAAAGATTCCCATTCTACAGCAGTCATTTCTCCGGAGGATCTTCTAGTGACCACGTAACCGCCACCCTTTTTGGGTATCGTAACGGCGGCGTGAGCCTTTGCATTCAAGAGAATCCGTACGCATTTCCGGTGTTGATTCTGGAGATGGGTCTGGAAACCAGCATGTTGGAGAAAGAGATGAGTATGGGATTCGTACGGATTGTGTTGGAATGTGAAAATAAGGAGACGATGAGGCTGGTGGAGGAGCCGTCGTGGACGGTTTATTGCAACGGGAAGAAGAGCGGTTATGGGGTAAAGCGGGAGGCGACGGAGGAGGATTTGGGTGTGATGGAGAAACTCCAGCCGATGTCGACGGGAACTGGAGCGTTGCCGGGAAAATCTGACGTGGAAGGTGGAGATTGTGAGATGGCATATGTTAGGACCCATTTTGACCGTGTGGTGGGGTCCAAGGATTCAAAAACACTTTACATGGTCAGCTCAGATAGGAACAATGGCCCTGAATTGAGTATTTTCTTTGTAAGGGTATAAACTATATAAAATAATCTTGATGTTTTTATGATGATTTCTTGTTAGTTTTTGATTTCCTTTTTCTTTTTCTATTTCAATTTATGATTTGATTGGGAATGGTAAGTTTGATTAGGGTTTGTAGATATATATATTAGAAAAATTCTATGATCAATGTAGCTGAGTTATTGTATCTGTTCTAGAAAAAAAATAAAATTCATTTTCATGATATTACACGAGTCTTACCCGATAAATGAGACAAGGATCAAGAGTCTTACCCGATAAGTGAGAGCGACGACTTTTACCACGGTAAGCGATTACCCGGTAAATTATCGTATACTGTGTCGTTTTGCTGGACAAAAATCTTACCTGGTAAGTACATAATAGTGTTAAATTTTACTGGTAAACACTTACCGAATAAATATTTGATAAACGACCCATAAATTTCACTTTTTCCCTTTGAATGATGTCCAGTGTCATTTGACTCCCCTTTTTTCTGGGACGATATTAATAACATGTAAAATAAATTAAAAACTAATAATTTTTATTATTTTCAAATATATTGTTGTTTATAAATAATTGTTAATTACATATATTTATATTCTTAAAATCATAGCGAAAATCGATGTTTAATTTTAATTGAATTAACTAATAACACCTTCAACATATTTTCTAGAGTTTTTTAAAATATAACATTAAAGAGTAACGTTTTTTAAAAAATTATATCAAATTCAAGCAATTACTCTGTTTTAAAGATTTCAATATTAATTATATCATATAAAATTATCATTCCATTTAAAAATTCCAATATCAATTATATTATATAAAATTATCATTCCAATGCCTTTTTAAAAAACTTTATAAAAAGTTATAACAAACTAAACTTCATTGGTGGCAACCACTAAAATAATATATATTTCTATTTAATACTCCATATTTGGAAATTTTAAAGATTTTCCATATTTGGAAAATTTCTACATTTTTTTCTTCTTTTTAGCATAACCATAGAAAAAAACCCCCTTAAATATCTATATCCGCTCTTCATAGACAAATTTGGGATACAAAATTTAGAGTTAGCCAATGATCCAATCAAAGGCATAATTGGAACAATAATATCAAATTTCTTAATAAAAAAAATCATTATTGATAGACAGAACTGCTATTTGGACAATTCCTCAATATCTTGTTCATTCGCAACAAAATTTGCCTCTTCTTTGCCCTCTGAATTAAACTTTTGGAATACATTTATTTCTTGTAGGTGTGGCTTGCTTTGGTTTTGGTCAGAATTAGACGGGGATATATCGCTTGGAGACGTAGAACAAAAATTCCAAATTGGGTATCTTATTTATATTGAATAATCCACATCACTTCTGCTTCTATTGTAACAAAAGATTCCTCTTTTATGTGGACTCTAACTACCGTCCATGTATGATCCATACTAGATCTGACCAACTGCCCATCCTACCTCCTCTACGTAAAGAGATCCGTTTTGCAAGTTCGTTGTTACGGGTAGTTCCTACAAAGGATGAAATACATATGATTTGATACATAAAAAAATGTCCTTCATTTTTTACAGATATATTATATTATAATACATTTGATAAAAACTCTTAAAACTATTTTTTATGATTAAGTACTATTTATTGATGCATATTACTTAAAATTCAAGATGACAAGTAAATTGTGCGTATGTATAATTTACTATAGCTTTATGTTTGAATTCGTGTAAAAAAATTGTAGAGAAACATAATCAATAGTAACTCATTTTACATATGAAAAAATTTAAAATATATCTAAGATAATAATTTATACTATATTATAAAGCATTTGACAAAAACTCTTAAAAACCATTTTTTATGCATGAAGTACTGTTTATTTATGCATATTACTTAAAATTTAATTTTACAAGTAATTTTGCGTAAGTATAACCTATCAAAGCTTCATTTTTAAAAATTATTGTAACTAACTGCATAACATAATCAAATATATGATAAACATTTATTTTAAATATTAAAAATCTAAAATATAATTAAGATAATCATTGAGTTTTAATATTATCTCTATAAAAAATTATATTATTAAACCAAATATAAATTACTTTATTATAAATCTAAATTAAATTATAATAAAGAATTGAATTAAATAAGTTACACCAAAGAACGATAATTATTAAATAGTTAATTTGATACTAATATCGATTTTATTATTTTCAAATTTTTATGTTATCTTCAAATTTATATTYCAWWCAAATAATAAAAACATTATCGTTTTCTCAAAACCACATAAAATTGTATTATATCGATAGAGAAAAAAATAAAAAATAGATTTTAGAATAAAGATTTATCTCGCTGCAATGCGCGAGTACACTTCTAGTTGAATTATAACAAAAAACTAATTATTATATTTTTAAACAAAAAATAAACGACTTAATTATTAAATCTAAATTAATTTATAATAAAAAAAAGAATTTTTAAATATTTAATTTGATACTAAAATTGACATATTTTTTTTCAAAATTTTATTATACCTTCAAATTTATATTTTATTCAAAAATAAAAAACATTATCGTTTTTTCAATACTACATAAAAATATACTATAACATTAGTGGAGACATAATATAACGAAACATTAAAATCGAAATTCGTTACATTGTATGAGTACCCATCTAGTTTATATAATATATATATATAAATATTATAATATGTTAGGTTTTTTTTTTTTTTTTAATGTTGGAATTAAGCACGTAACGAAATGATAATCTAAAATATTATAATAATTATATAAACTTATTATAAAACAAATAAACAATAATCAATATTCTAAAGCTATATTTCACATTTAAATAATTACAATTGATGTTTAAAGCTATATTTCACATTCCATCCAAGTTGCAACCACCGTCTTCCGCCCCGCCCTCTCTCTCAAACCGCCTAATATCTCCGCCACGATGGAATTCCGATTCATGCTCCCGCCTGCTTCTTCTTTGTCTTCGTCTCGTCGTATGCTGCGTCGATGCTGCTCCCTCGATCGCCATGCGCCGCTGAAGCCACCATATCATAAACCCCCGATCTTTTTTGATGTGTTCGTATGGTTCAAGTATTGAAGCATTAACGGTGGAGGTAGAACCCTAATAAATTGGATGATGTAGATTAGTCATAATTATGGTTTTTGGTTATGTTATTCACTGAGATTATACATAAAGCCTGGTTTTTGGTTCTTTTTGGATTTCGTAATGGTAGCTTTTGTCCATGTTTATAGTTTTGTAAGATTTGATTAATCAGTTTGGGGAATGTTTCTTTTTCCTTACATTACTATCCTCCCGTCAAGTAGTTTCCTTCACCATCTCACTCTTTTCGCCTTGATGTGTTGGTTTAACGTTGATAGAATTTTTCTCTATCAGGCATCAAAGTTAAGACATCCTTTACCATGGTAAGATTGGATTCAGAATAATTAAATAAATCTCAACTGAGAATGTTGTTGAGTGTTATAAGATTGCTACATGTCATTTGATGTAGGTAAATATGTGATTTGGTGAAGATAACTTTGTTCTAATGACAAGCAAGAACTTACATTATTTACGTATTGAAATTCATATACAACCAGTAAATAAATCCCTTAAAAGAATTAGGTTTTAACTTTAGTATTTTAAGTTATTTAGTTTGAGAACTCGGATTGCATCATTTGGAACAGGAATTGAAGGAAATGATTCAACGATTTCACTAAATAAGATTCAATTTTAATTGCAAATAGCTTAGTTATCAATCCGTTTGATCGTTGCTCTAAGTTCCTTGTATATTTAACAATGATCCGGAGTATTATAAAGCAACTGTTTTGTATACATAAAGGATTTAGAAAAGAAGACGGACTTTGAGGATAGCCAACTAGCAAACTAGACTCTCATTACTTAGTTCTTGCATGATTGGAAATGCAAAATGGAGCATGGAATGGAATAAGCCAATGGTATTATATGTGTATGTGTTGGTTTGTGTTGCCTCTTTATAGCACTAAACATGAAGTAATTGGTTGCAGAGGATAAAGAATGATCAGATTGGTATTTGGAAATTGCTATTACAGTTTCACTCTTGACCGAGTATCAAAGACAGTGTTTCTTGGAGTGACAACCTCTGTGGCTTGCATTTAACAGTCAATGGTACAATTGTTGCTGTCTTGCTGAGCCAAAGACTGTCCTCAGATTAGGATTTTATTACATTATATTCAACAAAAATGATTCTTTAGCCAACTGAAATGATGGTTATTATTTCGACACATCTTTTATTTGATCTACATATCGGTTCATGTCCTGTTTAGGGGCTCACTCGAGGTCTTATTGGCATGTCTTCTTTGCCTCAAACAAATGTTGAAATCAAACTTAGTAGACAGCATTAGATGCCGGTGTCATTGAACTATATGAATATTCTCCATTTAGCCGTGTAAGATGGTTAAACAACATTTGCACACATATGTCAATGCAGGCATGTCCATTGCTAAAATGCATGTCCACTCAGGACAGTGCTTACAATTTTAAAAACAAAACTACATTGACCAATTTGACTGTTTGCTCTAAGAAGAAACAAATAGGGGGCGGGACTTGGAAGTTCCTTAGAATTGTCTCACAATTTTTCTTCTTGTCCTTTCTTTCTTATGTTATTAGCTCCTTTGATATTAATTTTGGTTAAATTACAACAAATACCCCAAGTATTTCTTTATATCGCTGTTATGTCTTGGAATATTAACCATAAGTATTTATCATCTCTGTTACTATGAATATTTGAAATGCATGCACCAAGTTCTCTCTTTACGAGAAATTTCACTGATTCAAATCTGAAGTAGATTTGACATTCACTGATTGCAACTTACTGGTTGCATTGGCAATAATATGTTTACCTCAAACATAGCAACAACAATTGAATTAGAAGGATCGAAGGAGGTGACATATATCATAGTGTTTGCAAATCACAATGAGTGACTTCTTTTCATCTTTATGCATCTTCTTTAGAGGCAATAATTGCGATAATGTATAAGAACATTGTGTTTGAGTTGAATTGTTCAACTATGTTTGTTATACTCCTGTTTTTTCTTTTTCGGTTCATCTTTTCAGGTGGCATTCACAAATACTTGTCAGTTTTTGACTTACAGATCATATAGCCATGTTCTTGCATTCAAGTTTAAGGCTGTTGAATTGTTCAACTAAGTTTGTTTTGCGGATAAAGTTTGAGTAAAATTCAATGACCCATATGGGGAATGCTTGCAACAGCCCCAAATTGTTGTTCATGATGGCACTGATTTGGAGGCAGTCCTCGATTGTTTCCGCTAGGGAAATATGGGAAGAAAGTTGTGAAGGGAAATCCTTGCCCAATGTCAAATATTTATCCTGCATTAGATATGTTATTGCAGTTGCAGGTGACACTACCATTGTCTGCTGCCATATTAGCTATCTGGAAAAGAGAATGCTTATTTATGTGCTACAAGGACTTTCTGCTTTAAAGTACAGAAATCTTCACTATATTATAAAGAGCCAGTTTCAGTTCCTCCTGAAAATCAAAAGTTATAACTTGTTCTGCTCAATGTACAACTTTTAAAGCATCTTATTTCCCATCTCTCTCACTTGTTACATTATTGACTCACTCAACCTCTCCCTGTCCAACTTCTCTCCCTTCGCTCTTCTTATGTTCTTCCGGTTCAGTTCCTGTTAAACATCCATGTACTTCTCCATGCTCCAATCGGACGAGGTAAATAATTATATTGTTTTTGTAAGATTAGTTGACTCTGCACATTCATTTCACTTATACAAGATGAACTTGATCCATACACAAAACACATGGTTGCTTTGGAGCTTTGTAGAGTTGTAGTGTGTATAAATCATGCAATTATTCTTGAATATTTTTTGAGGTGTTGTAGTTACTTGTAAACGTTAACCGCTGCTAAGAGGATTAGTTTTAACAATGGTTTTTGTGGGGTTCGCAGGCTGCAATGTTGGATGAAAGCAAGTTTGATGTGCATTTGAAGTTGTGGGCACATTGAATCCATTGAGAGTTCCGCATTTGGTGAATGCTAACTCATACATCTTGCTTAGTTTGATCACACATATCACATATGTGTTCTTGTTACATCCAAATTCCATGAATTTCATAGAATTGTTTTGCATTCCCTCAATGGTCTATCCCTTTCGTTAGGTCATGAATTTGAGCAGCTACATCTTACCCTAGATCCTACCTGCGTGGGATTTACTGGGTTTGTTTTGGGTTTAGAATATTTTCTTTTATTTCTTACATACAATATTGCGTAGGTTCAGGAATGCCCATTGATGCGTCGTTCACAACCTGTAGAGAGCGGTTTTCTCGTGAGCATCCAGTTGACAGTGAATTCCCATTTGATGGAGTTCAAAGATTACGAACCGGTGAAGACGAGAAGAAGCTCAGATGGGCAGGACTACCTGGACATTCCTCTGTCAAATGATGCATATGAAAGCTGGTACTAGATTTCAACCATTGTAGTTGACTTTGTTTCCTTGAAGATTATCTAATTTTCCCAGCCAATATTGATGGACAGAGTGGTACTAAAATGCCCAAAGAATGAAGAATATATAACAAAGGAAGATGGAACTTACAGACTCTTGTCTTTTGGTGCCATTCACTGTACATGATCTTACACCTTATTTCAACAAACTAGCGATTAACTACCAATTTTACCAGAATCACAAATTGTATTTTATTGGAAAAGATGGATCTCACAATCTGTGTATCACGATTTTAATAGTTGCTCTATGTAACAGATAAAATTCATATAGACAATCACTAATAGCCGAATAGCGCGAGTCAAAAGAGCTATACAAACACAAATTATGCAAACGACAAATGTTTGTCTTAAAGTTCTATTAAGTTAGCAGAATCTCCTTGAAAGCGTACAAATCATAAATCAACAGAGAATTTAGAAACTACTAGGCGTGAAAGACTAATTAGAAAGGATAGCTCCCTTTTTTAGCCTGAAACAGTAACTGAATGGCATATAGCTGAAGTTGTTGCCACATTTGGATAAAAATCTATGCAATTCTAAAAGCCTTGTCTGCTCCATAAAATTTTACACTTGGGTTATACATATCTTTTACTTTTTATGCTTTTACATTCTAAATCAATTCCTGCTGTGTGATACAAGTGTACACTGTACGCCCAATTCCTGTATTTCTTTCTAATAAATGCTCTTAATTATCACTCCCACCTATTTTTTAGTCTCTCGAGATCTATTATTGTGTGGCATGCTAAGTTTTAGTTCTTCCTTTCCTCTTTCAGGAATTCATCCTTATATTCAACTTATTTATAATAACTCCGAGGTTTTCTGGTGGTGCTTTTATAAGTTAGACAGTTATATAAATTATGCTTTATCAAGGTTTCTAGGCGTTTAATATTGTTTTAATGTAGTTATCATTTTCTTTTACCACAAGCTTATGAAACTATATTTGTCATATAATCATGCAAGAAATTAGTAATATATGTTGTATAATTGTCCAAGAAATCTGAAATTATTGTTATATAATTTTGATGCAGTTTATCTTCCCCTTCCAGAAGCTTTCAGAGTTAAACCAAATTAGATATTGAAAATATTTGACTTCTAATAATCAACTACACTCTTTTTGGAATAGATGACTATCATTTATTGCGTTTCTTTTAGTAAAGAATAACAAATATTCTAATAAGAGTGAAATCACAAAAGCTTCACATCAGGATACAACCTCTCATTGCAGTAAAACCATTTCCACTCCCTTGATACAAAGAGAGTAAATCTGTAAATTCGAATTTGTTATGTGACATATGTTTCTTATTTTTGCTGTAAAAATTATGTGGCAGATTGCTTAATATGATTTTCATGGTAAGTGTCTGCTATCCTGTCCTATAGATGATGAAAAATGACCTCAAGATGTTCTGTTTGCTCATGGAAAATATGAATTTCGGAGAGATATATATGGCAGCCTGGTTGTCGCAGCAGAATAACCCTCTACTCTTACGTTAGTCATCAAGTTCCCAGTTAACTAGCAAGCATGTTTGGGCCATTGCTAGGTATTCGGCCTAGTACCAGATATCCACATCCTGCTACTTGCTTTTCCATGATATAAGCTTCCCACCAAATAACATAGAGCATGACTGGCATTCTGAGCACCTGTCTTTCTGAGCATACCTGGGAGCAGAGTAGAAACAACCTATTCTTAAAAGAGCTTCTTTGAGATATCTTAGATTGTGAATCACAATGTTCTGTCGGGAGGTGTTGGGAGAACATGAATCGATTGTTACTGAGAAAGCAAACTTTCGTCTCATGACTTTGAGATAAGCTAACTCACCTACCAGCAAGGATATTGGAACATTGGTGGACTGGCTATTCGGCTATCATGCTGTCAAGCATACATACTCCAGCAGGCATGCCTAGGATGTACTTGGGGATCCAAGGTACTTTGCATCCTTTTTGAATAAAGAATTAGAGAGATTGTTATATCTCTTTATACGTTCGCGTGTAGTGACTAGGCTGCCTACATAGAACACCAATATTATTTGTCATTTTTTGTCAGTCATGCATTCTAAGTCATGTCAAAGGTCTCCAAATGATGGCCATTCATTTCAGGGGAGTTAACTTTGGATGGATGTCAAGCATTTATTCTCTAATCCCCAAGTCATAAAAAGAAATGCTCTATTATAGTCATTTTTGGAATGAGAACCCTACAACTAAATATAGCGAGTCAATTGAGTGACTTTTCAATGTCAAAATGTGGTTTATTTTATAGATTTTGGAGGAAAGAAAGATAAACTATACTAATTTTTATATAGTAATTTTCATAGATGATTATATAATATAATCCAAACCAACCCAACCCAACCCAACCCAACCCAACCCAACCCAGTATATCCAACCCTAGCGACGGCTTGGTTTGGGGAGGGTAGGATGTACGTGAATGTGACCTCTACCCCAAGGAGTAGAGCGGTTGTTTGTCATGAAGACCCCTGGGTTGTGCAAAATGTGCAAGAAAAAGAAGAAATTTTGTCCAAAAGCATGAATACTTTTGAAAAAGCAAAAGAGCAGAACATGAGATCAGAAGGAAAATACGCTGAAAAATGAAAAAAGTCGAGACTAGGTTGAAGAAAACAATTTCACGAACATAAGATGTAGACAGATGGAAATATAGCAAAGGAAACTACACAACCCAAAACTATCTTAAAGACTTCGATAACCTATCTGCTAACTTCCTAACCCCCACCTAAGCTAGCTACACGTCCCCCTTAGTCTGCTTCCCTAGTCCTGTGTCTCCAATCATTCCTATTAGACGTCATGTCGGAAATTATTAGCGCCGACATATGTATCCGCAGTTGCTCAACCTAAGTCCTCCTCATCCTGTCCTTCCTTCCCCCTCCGACGTGCACACTTTCCACCCATTTTTATCGGGGCTATTATTCGTCCCCTTAGAACGTATCCAACCCACCTCTGTCATCCTCCCTCAATTTATCCGTGATAGGTGCAACTTCCAACTCTATGCGGAAGACTTCATTTGGTGTTGTCCAACAGGGTTCAACCACAAGTTCATCTAAGCATCCTCATATTTCCAGGTTCGAACTTCTTCTCATAGACTTCCCTTATCGCCCAACACTCCGAGCATACAACATAGTTGGCTTGATTATGAACCTGACTGATTCAAGTAAACGATGAAAGAAGGATTAAAATAGTCATAAATGAAGATGTATTTCAGCAGTGAAACAAAGGACAATCTAGCTTCGAGAGGCTAGTCTTTCCTTAGAAAATAGTACCACTAATCCCTATTTATAACATGGCATGACAACTTTATGAAGACAAATCCATTCCATAGCTTAGAAACTAACTCCCCAAGTCACTGTTACCCCTTTTACTCTCAGCTAGAATCTCTAAAACATATTGTTGGGCTTGGGATTGCATAACCACTCTCGAGCTTATGGTTGGGTGTATAACATTACCCCGCCCCAAAATATCCATCTTGTCCTCAAGGTGGAATGAACAAGTAAGAAACTGTTGTTGTGTTATGCTTCTTCCTGGCCAGCTGCCACTAAAGTCAATTCCAGACTATGGTTGTGAATCTAACTTGTCAAAGTTCTCTAGAACCAACATAATGCAACCATTTTTCAACGAGACAACATTGATGGCCTCCCATAAGTCAAACATAAGTGATGCAAGTTGACCCTTATATCTTGTGCAATGGTGTATTTTACAATACGCTTCTGCCCCTCTATAGGATTTTGACCAACAGCTCTAAGATGATTAGGTTGGTCTCATATTTATCCCTCCCGACCCCGTGTATATGTACGTCATTGTTAACTCAATGTCTCTGATCTAATATTTGGAACTTCAATGTCTTTGGCATCTTTCTCCCTTGTTACCACCGTCAACATTGCCTGAAATGCATCAAAAGAAGCAAGCAAACAACTTCCGTGAACATAAGATCGTTTGCTAGAAACTATGATTGCAGATGCTACATCGTCGAACATTGTTGCTGTGAGGATAGCCTTACCAGTTGTAGGAATGGAACACCAATGCATTCAGCCAACAAGTCTTGTGCCGATCCCACTAAAGAGATGAGGGTTAAGCAACAATCGAGTGGTTTTTGTCCCGAACTTCTCAATGTCAAAGAAAAGCATGAACGTAATTGGTGTCTTGAACTTTGTTTCGCCATCAATGGCTCGTAGTGTTGGTAGCAACTGCAGTTCCTGCTGACCGTCTTCCCACCAACCGCTAGACAGCCTTTCTGATTTTTGTGTTTTCAATCCCAAACTAGCTAATATGGATTTCAAGGAAACCCTAACTTCTTGATTTTTCTCCTTATCCACCCAACCTCTTGATTTGATGAAACATCCACTTGTGGGTTTTTCTTTTTAATCCACTCCACCTGCCGATTAGATAAAACCTCCACCACACCCTAATTTTCTTCCTTCCTCGCTCCTCATTTTGGATTTTCTTCTCAATTGTTTTCCATGTGAGGTCTCTTTCCAGCCGATGGTTGCCAGTGCCACCTTGTGCTTGAAATGTCAATCTTCTGACCCTTGATGGTATAGTTGCCGATGACAACGTGGATGATAGCAACACCAATGGCAGTGAACGACAGAAACAACGACGGTTTCTGCAACGTTGGGCCTTGCAGGTGGTGACAGCGGCGGCGGTTTCCGGTGAACGTTGCGCAACTAATTTTTCTTACATGCAGATAACCGTACCGAGTCTGTCAAACATCCGAGCATGGCGTTTATTCGTTTAAAACAAGTCTTGGTCTAGTTGAAATAACTCGATTGAATTTGGGCCGAAATAGCTCTACAAAACTGTGCTTCTATGACATCTAAGTGGTCTTTGTTTGGTTCATGATGGAGGAAAAATTGATAGCAGAAACCACTCGAGAAGTACACTAATCACACTTGATATCCAGGCAAAATCAATTCATTGCAAAAATTCGATCGGAGAAACTGGTAACAGTTGAAGATAAGAAACTAGTTGAATCATATCGGTCCATATCTAAGTATGGCAACGGGCGGGGAATGCAATGCTCGTCCCCGATTCTACTACTTCATTCTCGTCTCCAGCCCTGGTCGTTGGCAGGTACAGGGAATTGAATTCCCTCCCCGTTTTTTGTTGGGCCTATCCCCTGTACACTCCTAGTTTATCCTCGGTTCATCTCCGACTAAAAAATGGTTAAAATTGGTGGAAAAATATAATATATATTAAAAAAATATAATATTAATTAATATACATATGGGGATGGGGCGGGTTAGGGAATACATTGCCTGGCCCCGGTTTTCAATATGTTGGGGATCTCTAGCCCCGGTACCCATCTTTATGGGGAATCCCCGACCCAGGACGGGGCAGGTGAACCGGGTTTCCTAACGACGGTGGGCAAATCACCATGCCTATCCATATTCGTACCAATTTGAAATCGCTTTCACGATAGTTGATGGAATGTCCATTTTCTTCATTGTTCTCCTTCCTTTTCTACTTCCATTGACGATCCTTGTTTTGACCATGAGGTTGTAAATGCTTATATTAGGAGATTGTTCATGGACAACTTCTTCATCTTTCGAAATGAATCCTAGATGCAATCTCCAACTGTGGAGGGTTGCCTAGTTTAAGTGGGTTAGGGGGGTGAAATCCTGCTTGGGATAGGTGGTGCATGCCTCGTCTTAAAGGTTGGAACAAAAAATGATTATTAATAGTCTTCATCTCTGCCAACTTTTTGCACTTTTCTGTCATCAAGGCCATCTGACGAATAATTGTCTAGATTATGCATGCAAATGTTTTCAGCGTGTACAATCTCACTACCGGGATGCTTGTGATTTGAGTAGACGGGTGTGAGGATTAGAATGGTAAGGGTCGGGTAGCTCCCCCCGACCATGTGGCAACATGGTGAACCATACTATATGGAAAGTTTGGAGATCTCAACCATGAACTTCAAGGAGTCCTTTATTTAAAAATATGAGCACGTTTTCAGTATGTGATTATATGAATGACATTAGTCAAGGAGAAACTATTTTCAGTATGTGCTATGTTGCTTGAAACCATGAACTCATTGAGGTTTAGCTTACCGCTAACATACATCTCAAGGAAGGAGTATCTGGAGTAGACTTTACTTAATTTTAGTAAGTATCAGTTGTCGTAGAGTTTTTATCTAATCTCTTAGTTCGGTATGCGACGAACTAGAGGTTCTTAGACATTTGTTTTGTTTGTAAAAGACTTCCACCATGAGTTGTGATTTAGGGGACTCTTACTAAAAACTTACCCGGTAAGAGCTTACCGGGTCATTTACCTTATCGGGTGAACATTGTAATGGCCGAGAATCTTACCTTGCAAGAGCAATGATGAGGATGGAGAGTCTTACCTGGTAAGTAAGGGTAACGACTCGTACCCGTTAAGCACTTACCTTGGTAAATTGTTCCATACCATACCATTTTTAATGGACTACAATCTTACTTGGTAAATTGTTGTATTTTGAGAAGACGTAACGCCTCTATCAAAACATTAGGGTGTTACATATGCCAAGAAAGGAGTTGAGAGGAATTTCTTTCCTTTCTCACGGCAAATATTGATGATAAAGTCATATAGCATTCTTTTTGTTCGACTTATGATCCCCATTAATTTTATCAGATATTCGCCCAACTCTATCTAAGTAACCGACCCGAAAGGCTTTGGGATTATCGAAACCTAGAATCACAGAAAAGGGCTGTCGCCGCCGCAGCAACATAGACAATGGAAGAAGATAACCAATCCCTGATGGAGCTGCCGAAAGTCAATCTAGAAGGTGTTCTTGCAAGGCTGCCCTTGCAGTCTCTTCTTGTTTGCTGCTGTGTTTCCAAGTCACTGTTGAATCTCATTGAGAATGATTTGGATTTTGCGAAAGAGCACTTTGCAATATCAGAATCCCAACTAATGATTCATTCTCCTGAGACTACAAGTTTTCACTTGATTGACTTGGATGCTGATGCGACTCCAGGCTTTGGTACTCGGGTTGAAATTAAGCCAAATTTTAACCTTCCACTACATGGCTTTGAAGTTGCAGATTCGTGTAATGGATTGGTTCTTTTGGAGAGTGTGGATATGGTTAATGGATCTCACCGTTGTATTGTATGCAATCCGGTAACAGGTGAATATATTATGCTTCCTGAAACTAAACTTCTCTCTAGATATGCAACGTGTGCGTTATTTTACTGTCCAAGAACAAATCAATTTAAGATTTTGCGTGCTTTTCACCAAGTATTTAGTCTGGAGGGTCATGATCTGGGTCCAGGTTTAGATGCTTCCTTAGATTCGGATCCGGATTTGGCTGTGGAATTGGATCCATCTTCAGATTCTGATTTAGATTCAGATTCTGCTTCAGAATTGAATCTCTTTCCAGATTATGATGGCAATTTAGATTCAGGTGCCAATACTGATGATTCATCTCTTTCTTCTGATTCTGATTCTGATTCTGATTCTAGTTCCATATATTCTGAAAGTGATACCATGGGGGAGTTACTTGTAGGGGGTTCTGATTCATGGGAGTCCCTTGGCAACTTGCCTTTCTCTCCTCTTACTATATACTCTCCCTGCTACTTAGATAAAGCTACTCATTGGCTATGTGTCGAAGAGAGTGTTCAAAATCTCATAGTTTTCTTCAATTTTGAGAGCCATCAATTTGGGGAAATTCCTGCCCCTGCCCACTTGGGGAAGACTTATATAAATGCATATTGGTTGGTTGCCCTTGGTGGGTTTCTATCAATATTTGATAGTTTCACGACGAAAGAGAAGTTTGACATATGGGTAATGAAAGAATATGGTTCCTGGACTAAAGACTATGTGATTGACACAACCGCGTGGGGTGCATTCCACCGTGACCTTTTTTATAAGCCTGCAATGTGCCGAAGAAATGGGGAGGTAGTGATGATCAGTGAAGAAGGATATATATTATTCTATGACTTGTCAAAGAAGAACGGTAGAATCATCAAGCATCGACGAATTGATTTTCCAGATAGAGCAGTGGTTCATACTCCTAGCATCATGTCATTGAGGGATGCTATGAGAGATAGCAACATGAGAGTGCTGAATGTGGCATCAAGGTATCAACATTTTACATTTTAGGCTCTTATATTTCTTTCACCAAATAAAAATAGGTTGTATGATAATTTACTTTTAGGATATCACCATTCAAAAACTGTAATAGTAAAACAGTCGATAACATTGTTGAGTTGTTATCTTGTTTGGATGCAGGTTTGGTAGGCCAGAGTTAAACCCGCATTCCTACCTGGAGTTCGCAGGAACTTTCTCGGAGTAGGCAATTGTTACAACTTAGAAGAGTTCATAACTCATATCTATAGTGTTCGTTTATAACAGAATATGGATAGCAACTAGTATGTTGTTGTTGTGTCTGTCTTGCAGCGTCTAGTGTCTGAAATTGGTCATTTAGAGTAGCATGTTGGGTTTCGTTTGCATTTTGTGGTTGATGGTCTTCTTCTGTGGCAAGGATGATTCTTGTTTGCTGCTGTTGGTAGATTTGTTTCTGAACCTTGGTCTTTTATCATTGTTGTTGTTTGTGGTCCATCTGGTTCTGCGTTATGGTCTCATTAAGCCTTGTCGTCATGCTACCTGACTGACTGACTACCTCTCATTTGGTTGGCTGCAGGAAGATTTGGAGGCCATGAGGTCTGATAGTTTTTTTATCAGTTGTGTTTGTTCTTGTTGTAGTTAGAACCTTGAATTGGTACTTGATTTGTTGAATAATGTGTGATTTTGGTCAAAAACTTTATGGGGATTTTGGAGGTCATAGCCAAGGTCCCCTTTTTTATTATATATCTGTGGTTTTGGTTTCATGAAATGTACATGATTGTTTAGTCCCATTCGATGCCTATTTCTTACAAGTTGTGTACCTGACTACCTGTATAAAGAAGTGAGAACTGCTAATAAGCACTTGAAGGATGAAACAGGTTGTTGTATGCCACCTAGTTTCATCTGTAATTGAAATTTTATTACCATATTTCATGTGGGCCTACTGAAGATTAAATAAGTAATGAAGGAAAGAAGTGGCAGATGATTGATTGTTGCAACACTTGACAATTGCTATTTCTGGATGGCCCATTTTGAAAGCACTGTTCCTGTTTTGAAATATGATGTTCTAAAAGCAGCAGGTAAATCATCATTCCTATTCTGAGTGATGTTCACAGTCGTGAGTTGGTGATTTTAGTGTCATACAGTTTTGGTGTAATTGTGATCTATAGGAAATTGTTCACATTCATAATCGTTGTCTCTATCATCTTAGATCATCAAAAGATGGGGGTAGGGGGTTGTGCCCCCTTGGGGGTACTAGGGGCGTGGTGCGGGTGAACTGGGTATAGTTAGAAACTTGGTATTTTGGAGACTTAAGAGGTTGTTTACCCAAGCGCTTAATGGTGAAAGTCTACACTATTATTTAACTTTCCTGGTAAGATTCTAGTAAATTTGAACGGCTTCTTATGCAATATTTTATCCGGTAAACGGTTACTGGATAAGAGTAGTCACTTTCACTTACCGGGTAAGACTCTCAATCTTTGCCATCACTCTTACCAGGTAAGATTCTAGGTTTTTGCCATGTACATCCGGCAAGGTAATTGACCCGGTAAGCACTTTCTGGGTAAATGTTTAGTAAACGACCCAAGTGTGGAATCAAAAACTTTTGAGTTGAATCAAAAGCCTATGAGTTTGTAGTATCAGAAGCTTTCGAGTGAACACTTTAGAGTGGAGATTCTGAGTCGGTATCTAATATGTTTCAACTTAATCTATAAGCGGTTGTAACTGTTGTGTATTTACATGTTAACTGTCTAATCATCTGTAACTGTTGATCTTTCATATAAACATGTAAGATATGGAATACGGGGTGTATATATGGAACTTGATTTTACAGCCTTTAAAGTTAAGAGTAAAGATTATCTCAATACTCAATTTATGATACCCAAGGCTTATAGGGTCGAATTAGTGTATTCGAAAAGCAAACTTTACACTAACCAATCGATTTATCCAATCGTATATGATCAAGGAACCTTCAATTTCGGAGTAAAGCATCGGCCCGATATCTATACAACATTTATGATGCTTTTTGTAAGGAGTAGACTCTGGTTGTATTGTTGCAAGATTGGCACCACTTTGACTTGCTTGTCAAGTGTTTTGCCTCTTTTGGGTTGTATCTAACCATCTTTGCCCCAAAGTCCCTTTTTGCCAACTCATGTATAGACATGAATCAAGTATAGATGCATACTGCCTTAATTACTTTTGTAACTTTGGTTGGAGCATGAGCAAGAGCAACATAATATGGGTGCTAATGTTAAATCAAGCCAGACTCTTTCAACTTTGTGTTCTAGAAACCTTTTTATACTAAGAAAATAAAAAAACAAAAAAACTTATGTTTTTTAAACTTTTTTAGGTGAGAAAGGAACGGGAAATGAAAAAAGAGCTAATGCTTGTTGGGTATTTTGGTTTGTCACTGCTTCACAAAATTGAGATATATACCAATACCTATTACAGGTAGAAAAATGGAGACACCAATAGGCCATTAAATGAAAGAAAAAAGAACTAAGTACATTAGAGGTCTTTTAACAATATTTTTAGAACGAAAAAAACAAGATTCTTTTTTCCTTAGTTTATTTGATCAAATAAAAAAACAACTTTGGAATTGCTGAATCACAGATTATAAGTTTCCTCCCAAATGTAAGAGAAAAAGAAATGAAAAAAAAAATTTAAAACTCTTTAAAAAATTATTAAAATAGTCCATCGATCTACATATTTTTAGAAGGTATATTATTAAAAAGGATATATTTCCTTTATTTTCTTCCCTTTTTTAAAACATGAAAACTTATTTTCTTTATTTTCCTTCATTTTCAAAAATATAAATAAAAACATTATTTTTTATTTTCCTTTCTTTTCCCTTTTTTTTTTCTTTTCCATTTCTTTTCTTTTATTTTCTCACATAATTCAAGAACAAGAACATAACGTGAAGATTACAATATTAATTATATTATTAATTATATTATTTCTTTGTCTAAAATTTAATTTTAAGGATCCTTATTGGTAGAAAGTAAGGGTATTCACCGTTCATTTTAGGTGGTTTAATTCCCATATCACAAATTAAATTGCAATGACGATTTAGGAAAATTTTCAAACTATGCGGTTCAGTAGTAAGTGATCAAACCATCAAACCAGACCACAATTTTTTTTTGGGGCCTATTATGGTCTTTAAACTAAGAAAGTAACATTTTTCTCCAAAATAAAATTCCTAATAATATAACATTGTAAAAAACATACTATACCAAATTATAAAAGAAACATATATCTTCAAAAATAAAAACATTGAGTGAATTAAAAAGAGTTATACAAGTCCAACAACAATAGTTGAAACTTTGGGCAAACATGGAGTAAGTTGAAATACGATTTAGAATTTTGGGTTTTGATTAAACGGATTTCAAAATTTTACCGATGTAAGAAAGGTAGACTTAATAAGTGAAAACAAAAACTTAGGGGTCGTTTATCAAACACTTACCCGGTAAGCACTTACCAGTAAATTTAACACTATTATTTACTTACCGGGTAAGATTTTGGTCCACAAAAATGGTATTGTACGCAACAAATTACCTGGTAAGCGCTTACCATGGTAAGAGTCGTCGTCCTCACTTATCGGGTAAGACTCTTGGTCTTTGTCTTGCTCCTACCGTGTAAGATGTTTGGTCCTTACCATATTTGTCCGGTAAAGTAATGTAACTTGATGTTCACTTACCTGAGTAAGCGTTTGGTAAACAGCCCCTAAATGTCTTAAAATTGGGCCATAAAATTAAACAGCCCCTAAATGTAAACCATAATATAATTGGTACATATGTATTTTGGCAGCGGTTCGGTCCAAATAGCTCAAAAAATGTTCAAACAACGGATCGGACCAAACAGTTTGACTAATATTTAGGTCGCTTAAACCGTCAAAAATGATCTGGTTTGACATGGTTCGACTGATTTTAGGGATCCAATGGTCTTTTAAACACCCATTATAGAGAGAATCCATAAAACATTTGCTCTTTCGTAAATAATCATTTTTGGAGATTTCTTTAAATTCAAGGACTTTCACCTTATCTTTCATATTTTCTTAAATTTAGAGAAGAATTTAAAAAAATCTGTTAGACCAAAACAAAATCTTCATTTGAAAAATCTGTTGGAGATGCTCTGATTGATAAAAAAAAAATATGTCGAAGATGTTCTGATTAATAAAAAAGAAAAGAGATTCTCTCATAGATAAAAAAGGTTTCCATTTATAAAGTAGAATATAAAATGGGTGAGTGTGTAAAATGATAACACAAAAAGAGTTTAGGGTTTAAGTTGGAGAATACATTAAACTTCAGGGTTCCTGATTAAAATAACTACAAATATCCCTTCTCATGATAGAACTATGTTTAGCTTCTCTTCCGCCATCTCGCTCTGTCTCGCCGCCGGCCGTTTACCAGAATATTTGTATTCCCGTTGGTTGTTTACCCAACTTCCATTCATTCTCCGTCACCGGAATATCTCCTGAATACAGGTACGCTTACACCCTTTCATTGCTAAACGCTAAACCCCTTGATGTGGTCTCAAAAAGAACATTTTCCTTTAAGAATTCGATATAAATTATCATTTATGTTCGTTGTAATTTCTTTGATGAGTATTGTATATAAACCTCCGATAACAAATTTAATTGGGTTACAAGTTTCAAATATTGATATGATTTATTGAATCCACTGGTACGATTTCTTCATCTCTAGTTCTCCTCCTTCATCCCTTTTACGATTCCTCCACTGCTCCCTCCTGTTAAGTTTTCTGCTTGCTGCTGTATCATGTGACGATTTCGGGAAATGAAGATAGGACCGTGGGAGATGTAATTTTTTTTTTATCCATTGGGACATGATTTTTTTATCCACTGTTCTGTCACTTGAGTGTGCCTTCTTTTTCCTTGAATGCACTGCTCCTATGATTTTTCCTATTGATTATCAAAATTATATATATTTATATATAAGTTATAATAAATATGTTTGATAGGTTTACGAATGTATATTATATGAACATTATTGGTTTATTTTATTTATGTACACAAGGTGTTTGTTGAAATGTATGTGAGAAATATAGGTTGTTTTTTGTTTGCATTTGGGTTTCTTGTAATTCTTTAGTGACATAGTATTACAATCAAGTAGTAGTTTAATGATTTATTGTGATTATTGGTTAATTAATTTCAGTTATTCATTTCTTGGTGGTTGTTCATTTTGTTCAAGCCTCGGATTAGATCATGGCTCTTTGTTTGTTGTAGAAGGTGTTTGATGAGATGGCTAAAAGAAATGTGTTTGCACATATAGTGTTTAATATAGACTATGGTGAAATAGTCGTTTCTAATATTCCAACTGTTAATTCAACAGACCAACTGAATAACTATTTATCTTAAATCGTACGGACAACTTGATTAATATAAACAGCTTAATCCATACATGACTTCCAAATTGCTTAATCCATAAGGCTATATGGTCTGAATCTTTCCCTTTGCTGAATATGTTGCATTTATATGTGCTTGTGAGCTTTGTTATCTTACGTATAAGTATTGTTCACTTCTAGGTTTGGCTACTATGAATGGATATTGAAGTCAAGATCTTGAAGAACCTCTAGGAAATATGGCAGGTTTAGTAGCAACCCGATTTCTTTTTCTTGTTGGCGATGCTCTATCTGTGAAAAAGCTCCCGAAGATTTCTAAAGCTGCTTCATTTCACAAAAGTGCCTGTATATTGAGCCAATTTGGTAGTTCAAATGGTCCGTTAACTCTAAAAAGCCTCGGATTCAAGAATGGGATCGAAACAGTACCCAAGTTTGAGAAAGATAAGGTTAGAAATAAGGTTTCTACCCTTCAAGGTGAAGTCGAACAAGTTAAAAGCAAGCGAGTTATAGTCAAAGTCAAAGCCGTTGCTATGGGAAACCCTCTTGTAATCGAGTCGGCCCCTTTTTCTGCAAAATCGTTTTCAGAACTTGGTCTTCCTCCATTGTTGGTTGAAGCACTAGAGAGAGAAGGCTTTAATGTTCCGACGGATGTTCAGTCAGCTGCCATCCCCACGATCCTTAACAATCATGATGTCGTGATTCAGTCGTACACGGGGTCTGGAAAGACATTGGCATATGTTCTTCCAATACTCTCAGAAGTGGGCCCACTCAAGGTTTCGCCTGATGACGCTAAAAAGAAACCCGATATAGAAGCAGTGATCGTGGCGCCTTCAAGAGAGCTTGGTATGCAGATTGTGAGAGAGATCGAGAAGTTATTGGGACCTGAAAACAAAAAATTTGTACAACAACTTGTCGGTGGTGCAAACAGGTCGAGACAGGAGGAAGCTCTAAGGAAAAACAAGCCGGTTATCGTTGTGGGAACACCTGGGAGGATCGCGGAGATCAGTTCCGCTGGAAAGCTTCACACCCATGGCTGCCGTTTTCTAGTTCTTGATGAAATCGATCAGCTCCTATCGTTCAATTTCCGAGAAGATATGCATCGAATAGTCGAACACGTGGGGAAAAAAGCCGATTCTGGCCCAGCAAAGTACACAGAAAGCACGATTAAGAGACGGGTTGAAAGACAAACGATCATGGTGTCTGCAACCGTGCCCTTTGCAGTGATCCGAGCCGCTAGGAGCTGGGGTCGCGATCCAATTCTTGCACAAGCCAAAAAGGTTTCGCCTCTCGAATCCGTTCCCCGCCCGGCTGGACCCATCAATTTAGCCACCGGACCCAACTCTGGTTCGGATCTGCAGCAGAGCAACGCGGTCTCTGATAGCCTACCACCATCCTTGAACCACTACTTCTGTATTTCAAGGCTGCAACACAAAGTGGACACCTTGAGAAGATGCGTTCATGCCCTTGATGCAAAAACCGTTATCGTTTTCATGAATCACACCCGTCAACTAAAAGACGCGGTTTTCAAGCTACAAGCCCGTGGATTGAATGCCGAAGAACTCCATGGAGATCTTGGGAAGCTAACAAGATCTACAATCTTGAAGAAATTCAAGAAAGGGGAAATAAGGGTATTGGTTACAAACGAGCTATCTGCTAGAGGTTTAGATGTATCAGATTGCGATCTTGTGGTTAATGTAGACTTGCCGACTGATTCGGTTCATTATGCGCATCGGGCTGGAAGAACCGGTCGACTCGGGAGAAAGGGTTCGGTGGTCACCATTTGTGAAGAATCCGAAGTTTTTGTGATCAGAAAGCTTCAGAAGCAACTTGGGGTTTCCATCCAGTCTTGTGAGTTTGCTGAGGGTAAACTTGTTATCGAGGAAAAAAAGTAGAGCCTTTTGTTTTAAACGATTCGTTGCAGCGAGTAAACACAAGTACTAAAAGTAGCCTTTTTACTATGGGTAAAAATCAGTCTTCTAAACGCTTGCTGCACCAGGCACCGTGACGCTTCATGGCTCGAGAGTTGTGTCTGACACCGGCACACATGGCCTAATGCGCGGTTTAATTTTGTAACGTGATGTTAATTTCTTTTTATTTTTATTTTCAATGTCTCGTTAGTTTTTAATATATAATTTAATTTAAAATGTTTATACATAATGGACTCAATGAGTGAGGATGGGGTGGGTGGTAGTTGTGCAACGACAATAGTGGTATGGTGGTTGGTAGGGTGGGAGGGTGTGACGACGACAATCATGACATGGTAGTAAGTGATGGATTGGATTGGATTGGATTGGGGTGGAGGTTGTAATGACGACAATAGTGGTGTTATGGGTGAGAGCGTGACAATGACGGTAGTAGCATGGTTGTGTTTGAGTGGGCGACAATGTTGGTTAAATTACACGCAAAGGGGTGGAATTCAATTCCTTTAGTTATGCCAATGAATGATGAATTCATCAATTTGTGGAATTCAAATGAATTCATCCATTTTAATATGTGAAACCAAACAAATGAATTGGAATTTGGTTAACGGTATTGATCATATTTCAATTTTCTTTAATTCCTTTAAATTGTTTAAATTCTGCAAATCAAACGCCCCTTAATTTCTACAAATTGGGACAAGTGAAAATATTTTATTTTGTGTATATGATGTGTTAGTGTGTGTTGAAGATTCTAATATCACCTTCAAATATGTGCCAATAAGTTATATTATATCGTGTGGAACTGAACATTGACATGTTATAAAAACATTTTTACAGTTCTCATGACAAACCTTAATATGATTATGTTTGTTTTTTTTCTTACATCCTCATAAAAAGAGGTTGTTATCATGTTATACTAGTTTTGGTTACTATTTAGCGTAATTAGTGCAACAAACGTATAATTATTCGTTTTTCATTGCAAAGGTTTTGTAACTATTGACTGTGTGAAACTGTGGATGTTACAATGTCACATTAAAATCAATCAATATTACATAGGTCAAACTATGTTTATAATATAATATATATGTATATATATATATGAAATGGGAAGAATTAGATGTTTTTACACTAATTTTATATTAAAAATTAATACTGTTACACTAAATAATAATCAAAACAAATTTTGCTAAATTTAGATGCATCTTGTTCTCTAATATAATTGATGATGCAAAGCCTCAAATAGAGTATGATTAAATTAATTAATGTAGTAAAAAATAAGGGGTTATTTGTTTACCTCTTAATAGTTCTTTTAAGAGACAACCTCTGAATCGTTAAAAGGTGAATCTTGTTTGGCAAAAAGAAAGTCTGTCTCTTAATGATTTTAAAACCATCTGAATGATTTTGTATCATGGATCTCCCTTAATAATTAAGAGCCCTAATTTCATTGTACACAATTACCAAACAATTATATTTCATTTCGCACTATATCATGAGAGGCTTTTAATCATTCTGCACCAAACCATTCAGCAATTGCCAAACAGCTCCTAGACTTAAGAAAATAAACCTAAAACAACATTGGAAATAAAGTAAAATTAATTATCACATCTTTATTAGAATATTATATGAAATTAAACCTTTTAAAGAAGATTTAGGGGTCGTATATCAAAGTATTTATCAGATCACTTACTTTATTGGATGAATAAGGTAAACACCGAAAATCTTATCTAGTAAGAGCAATGACAAGGGTCAAGAGTCTTACCGGTAGGTGAGAGAGACGGCTCTTACCCGATCAACGTTTATCAAGTAGATTGTTGTATACGACACCGCTTGATAGACTTGAATCTTACTTGGTAAGGTAAATGAGAGTGCTAACTTTTTACCGGTAAGGGCTTAATGGATAAGTATGTGGATCACTGGATCTTAAAATAGTTAAATTAGTTTATTTATTTGTGAAAAGTCAATATGTACCCCGTAAGATTGTGAAATAAAATGAGATGATTTCATTATGTTTAGTTTATCTGAAGGCTTGTATCGGATAAGTTGAAGAATAATTCCTTATCTAAATCTAATGATTAAGATAATTTTTAAGGGCCATTTATCAAATGTTTACCCGAGTAAGTGTTTATCAAGTAACACTACCTCACTGCATGAATATGGTAAATGCCAAGAATCTTACCCGGTAAGAACGAGACAAAGACCATGAGACTTACCCGGTAAGTGAGGACGATGGCTCTTACCACGGTAAGCGCTTACCGGGTAAATTGTTGTATACAATGTCGTTTTTGTGAACTAAAATCTTACATGATAAGTAAATAATAGTGTTAAATTTTACTCGTAAGCACTTATCGGGTAAGTGTTTGGTAAACGACCCCTAAATGTTGCTATATTGATTAGGATGTGAAGCTCTGATTATTTGTTTAGTAAATAAATATCACATGCTATGAACATCTAAATTGTATATGTAAAAGAGTTAGATTTTTGTGAGAAATGTCATTTTTACGAGAAATGTGAGAACTGTAACTTTCATACTTCATATAATATATATGAATGTACCTTTATACTCTGTGAAGGTGTGTAAAGGTGACTGTATTCATAAAAAACTAATGAAATTACACATTCAGACTCCGTAACCTCTATCGCTTTCACAAAATAAAACGCAACATTTACACAATATAAAGATATCTTTATCACTTCTAATGTTTGTCGTTATAAAAAATATTTTTTCTCATATGAACCAAAGTAATAGATATAATCTATTTAAATCATTACAAATTTGGTCCATGTGGTATGTGATTTTCGTTTCGTTTTGATTCTTATAGTTTTTTATTCCGATTTTGAAATTGTTATATGCATTTTTGCTCGATTTTAGTGTAACCAACCTAATACTTATGTGATGTGTATGAGTTAAGTTGAGTTGTTTAAAAGCATTCCACCGACCATGTACAACTTTAATGGTGATGGTTTGATGATGATAGGATGCAAAAAAGAAAAAAAGAAGTTAAAAGAGATGTAAACTCATTGCCACACTACGACTTTAAGGGAAAAGACAATATTGCCCTCGTGATGCTATTCAAAAACAACGGTGTGCAGAATTTGCATGGTCAAGAATCCGAACTCGAATTGAAAATAATGTATTTATACAAAAACCGAATGTATCGAAATATGAAAATCCGGAAACCAATTTTTGGAGGAAAATTTGGGTTCGGGTTGGGTTTGATTTTTGACCACCCAATCCGTCTGAAAACCAATATATATATATATTTTAAATGGTATATAAATATATTTATTTATAAAACCATCTTTTGAAAATTCTAAAAACCCTAGTTGGTCATGCTCTTTTCTAATTTTCTAACAATTTGCCAATCCTCGAAATCGATTGAAAATTCATCATTAAAATCAATTAGATATAGTTTCCATTATAATTAAACCCGAACCCACCGACCTTAAGTCGGAACCCGATCAACCCGAACCCAAAACAATTTAAACTCCGAAACCCAAACCAAACATTAAGGCTTGATTTTCATATCCAAAAAATCTGATGGTTTTTTCCCCACCCGTATATCAAAATGACATATTTGAAGTGGAAAAAAAATGTAAGGACTAAAATCAAGAAAAATATAAACCAAAGGGACCAAATCTTAAAAATTTCGGGGTAAGGTAAAGGAGGAAGGTGGACGTTTGGAAGGATTAAAGGGTGATAATTAGGCGCCAATTCTAATTTTTCCGGTCCACTCAATTTCATACCTGCAATCTGCTTCTTTCCCCGTCCGTTCCATTCATATGCAAACAATTGATTCACACACATACACGCACAAACAATATGCATTTTCATGCTCACACTTTCACCTGTTCTACCTCTTATCCCACCAAATATTACCTTACCAAGGCCGCTGTTTTCAAAACCCTAGCTTCTGCCAAGAAACCCCTCTATGACTATGGTATGTGCGAAAATTCTAAATTTTGGTGAAATTCGATCGCATTTCAGTCTTCTTTCGGCAAACCAGACACCCATTTGCATTTCCAATCTCCTGAACTGTTTAAATTGATTATTGGCTTTATTCATTTGCTGTATATCACAGGCACCGGAGTTTCTTTCCGGCATACCGGCTCCCGAGGGTTTCCTTTGGGTTTGAAGCAAATGAATCGTCGAGGTAATTTTCTTATATAATCACTTAATTTGTATGTCCGATTAGCAACTTTTCGAATTCAAAAATCCCCATGTTTCTATTTTTTTTTTACTTTCTGAATATTGTTCAATTGTTAAGTATTTACAACAAAATTCATTTCAATTTTCTTAAACGGCCAGCGAACCAGATTGTTGATTGGTTCATGTCATATGCTGTGGTTGATTTATATGTGATAAGCATTTGATAATCCATATTGATATTGGTTGCAATGCTATTGAATATGAGATTTTGCTTTTGTTTAAAATCCAGGTCTAATGAACTCAGCTTCAGAGGGACAAAGCACAAGCAACAGTGCTGAGAAAAAAAGGTTTTTGATAGTCCTCGTGCTTTTGTTTCCTTGCCTCATGTTGCTTTTTTTGGATATAAACTCAGGTTATATTGTTTATGTTCTTCAACTATGTATTTTGCTTCTTTTTGTCACAGAGAAGTTGTAGAACACATATGTTTGCTTAAAGCAAAGGTGGATTTATCTGATGAGGATGAAAAGGACATGCTGGATTTTCTCTATACCTGCCAATATCAAATGCGTGGCATCCTCGCAATCTCGTTAGGTGAACTTTCTTACGGTTGAGTTGCATTTTATGTACTTCATAACAAATTGATATTGAAACAAGAAAATTGAATATATTCCCATGCACCATAATTTAAACGCATGCTTTTAATTATTTACTTATATCACTTTGGTAGTTTATTCCTAGTTCAGAAAGCAATATGTGATTCCATGCATGTGCTTCAACAAAAGTTCATGCCTAAATCTTGATGATCATTTAGTATGTCATATGGTCATTTCCATGTCATGAGCACATAGCTACTCAACTCCTCGTGGGTAGAGGCCATGTCTGCTTACATCTTAACCCCCCCTTCCCCCCACACACAAAGACCCTACCTCCGGGTGGGACATTTTGGGCTCGTTTGTTTGGTTTGGTTTTCATGTCATGGGGACATGTTGTGTGGTATTCATGAGATTTGTCCTTGCTTTTTCCTGTAGGTCGTATCTCGTATCAAAATCTTGAAAGTTATACCCATGCTGTCTTCATGCGTTTTCAGAAGCGGGAAGACCTTGCAAAGTTCTATGAGAACCCGTTCTACTTGGGAGTCTTAAAGGACCATGTAACGCCTTACTGTCATGTACGCCCTGACATGTAAACACCATACTCTCAGTATCTTTGTTTTCTGTTTTTATTATTCTTACTCATTTGACTTCTAAGCTTAATTTGTAATATACTTTATTGTATCTACAGGAATTCACTTATGTTGATTATGAATCTGAAGTAGAAGATGATATTCTTCCCATCTTTCGGAAAGGAGAGGTTAGAACTGGTGCCTAACACTTAGCTCACCTTTTGCAGGGTCAAATCCGGTAGTTTTCAAATGCAAAATTGGTATAATGTCTTTTGGTTTTTGTACAAAGTTAATGCCAACAATTGTCTAGTGGTATTAAGTTCGATCTAGGTACAAACTATTGCCAGAATTAATTTTTTATTATATTTGTTTTGACCTCAGATGTCAAACAATACCCTTCTCCCAATGGAGGGAGTACTAAAAGATGTCATATGACTTCTGTTCTGAAGCCTTCTGCTGATGTCTCTTAGGCATCCCATCTGATTAAATGAGTTACTACCATCGTACTCGACTGTTTATTACAAGCAAAATATCGATCTTGAAAGATTTAGACTTTGCAAAAATCAGCATTTTTGTCAAAGGGAGCCAAGTACGATGATTTCTTTTTGCAGTTTGTCCAAAATCTCATTCTTGCAATCTGTAGAGTTCTTTTGTCATATTTGCAAGAACAATGTTTTGTTGCCACAGAAAGTCAAGTATGATTGGTTCAAAAAGGCAATTATACACCTTGTTATAATCTAATCCACGTAACTGTGTACCACATTCATGGAGTTTAGATCAATAATCAAAGAGCTTAATTATTTCTGCTGGCAGGAGTTTAACTTTGGTGTTGAATTCCTACTTCTTATCGCATTTAAAGAGAGCTCGTTGGAGGAGGCGGCAGATGATGCACTGACATCTTTCACAAAGTTGCTGATGGAATTTCCGTCACTAATTGTCCAGGCTACCAAAGGTATTGTCAACGTATTTTTGCTATCTTAGGCACTAAGTCAACACTACAACTTCTAAAGCTCAAAATTTGTATGGATCATTGGCACATCTTACTATATTACTAATGTAATTATCAAGATTTGCTATATATCAAAGAATTTGTTTTATTTTACTGTTGAAAAGTAGTAATTCTGTCCTCAATAGGCAAAGTCTTGCTTCTTTTCTTGCAGCATCGAAATAAATCAGTAGCAACTCAGTTTAGTTATTTCCATTTTCAGGGTTAAATTTCAATCCTGGCAGCAAAGACTACACTCATGCTGTAGTAATACGATTTCGATCATGTGAGCCACTTTTTCAGCTCTATGACTCGCAAACTATTTACTTTTGCTTCTTTTCACAACTGACCACTCGTTCTTGGTCTTCCATAGCCGATGCCTATGACATTTTCATGGGCAGTTCAGAATACAAAGAGGTAATGAGCTATTCTTTATAATATTTGAAATCTATCCTTTTGATGGTATACTTGCTAGGGAAAAGTTCAAATGAGAACCATAAATATTTTGAGAACCAGGTAACAGACTATATCATGTATTATTCATAATGAATAACCCTAAATAATCATGAATATCATGCATTCATGATATGGTGCATTTTCATTATTCATGGTATCATGCATTTTTATCATGAATATCATGTATTTTCATTATTAATAATAACAAATCATCATGAATATCCATCATGACATTCATCATAAATAAAACATGAATAGTTGGTTCCAAGGTTCTTAAAATGTTTACGTTCTCATTTGAACCTCCCCCTACTTATGTAATACGGACATACACACACACTTGCCTGAATATGAGTTTCTTATCTTCTTCGGCTGCTCTGGTCCATGTGGAACCATACGGCCAAAGAAAGGTCAGTCTAGCCGTTCCCCACTGGTCTGCAGAGTGAACTCCTTTCTTTTGAGGGTCAAAGTATAGGCAAGATTCTAACGTTTAGGATATAGTTTGCGAAAAGCTTGAACATTATGATGAACATAAAGTTCAGTAATTTATCTTATTTCATTTGTTTGTGTTATAATATGAGCAGATTTGGAGGTCTAAATTTCAGCCTATCACCGAGAAGAAACTGTCCATTAGCTTTTCTGTAGATCCTGTTGGAAATGAGTTGATGTAGCAAGCTTTGCTCATTTTAGGTTTGTTCCCTGTTCCATTTTAAAAAAAGGCTGATTTTTTATTTTTGATGTTCAAATATACTGCATAAGGTTCTCAATTAGTTAACCTAGTTTGATTTTGGTTGCCAAACATATTATTTTTCTTAAAGTTGATATGAATGAGTTTAAAAGTAACATATTCAGAAGAAGAAAATTATTAGTTACATACTTATATTCTAGTAAACTTATCAATTACAATATTTTGTTTAACTATAATCAACTTATCTAACATAAAGTATCTATAACAGTTGAGATGTTTAATATTTTCTCCATCAAATTGTTCTTCGTACATTCACTTGTTTTTCATTGACAATTTCTATTTGTTAATTTGATTAAATTTAAATGAAAATGATGTAGTTGTGAGAATACAAGTATGTAATTGATGAACCATTTTGTTGGAATAACCAAACCAAATGAGCCCAGTAAATCCCACATTCCCACCCGAAGGTGGGTTCCTGCCCCGGGGGGATGATGTACACAAACATGACTTTTACCCCAAAAAATGAAATGACTGTTTTCTTGAAGACCCCCGACATATGAAAAGTGTGTGAAAGGGAGAAAGTTAGCCTAAAAAGTATAAGAAATATATAAAAAAGAGGACTTCGAAAAAGAACTTGAGACATGAAAGGTAGATACCATAACTTTTGGAAAGCTAGTTATGAGTAAGCAACAACATACAAACAGAAGCAAAGCAAGTACAAGAAAACATAGCCATATAAACTACACAGGCCTAACTTAGGGATCTAGCAACCTACCTGCCGGCTAACTAACCCTACCCACCCCCACCGCCACCCTCTACCTCTCTAGCTCTCTTCCTCCCGTCTACCTTCCTACCTATAGATCTTCACCCCCAGTTTGCTACCCTAGTTCTGTGCCTCCAAGTACTCCTTCGGAGGTCATATCTTTGCAAATGCCTAAAGTCGCCATGTCCAACCTCAATTGCTCATTCTAGATCCTCCTTGCCCCTTTGATTGCCACACTTTCTATCCTCCTCATCAGAGCCACCGTTTGTCTCCTACGAACGTGACCAAACAACCACAATTTTCCCTCTCAACTTACTATGATGGGTGCAACTCCCAACATTGTTCAGAAGACCTTGTTAGGTATCTTGTCAAACATGGTCCTTGCACAGGTCCATCTAAGCGTCCTCATTTCTGCAATTTCCAACTTCTTTTCATGGGCGTTCCTTGTTGCTCAACACCTTGATCTGTAAGACTAGTTGGTCTTATGGCTACCATGTAATAATTGTCTTTTAATTGTAAACATGACTTTTAGTCACACAACACCCCCTGGGAACCCTCAACTTTAGCCACCACGTCCTTATTCGATGTGTAATGTTATCCTCAACCCCCCCCCCCCCCCCCCCCC